AACTAATATCAAATCCGGACTGTACGTCCTGTAACCATGCTAGATGACTATAACATTTCCTACCACGAACCTGATTGTAACAAGCAGTTCCCTTAGGGTTAGGGCTAATTGTTGGTGTTTCAATAATACTGCCAATTACACCAAATTTATTAAGTTGAGGATTGCAGTGGCAAGTGGAGCTCACAAGTCGCTAACTTGAGGTACTTTACAGTTAGAATAAAGAAACAGATTCCGAGACTAACGTTGAACAAAATATATCAACATTTATTAAATTTTTCCACATAGCATACAATATTAGTCCAAAGTTTACCAGTCATTAACTTTTCATAACACTTACTGTTACTTTTAATCAGCACCAATGATCATTACATGTAGAGTACATTTCTCTAATGCATAATCACAATATTAAACGTAACATATAAATAACTTCTCTCTAGTTTAACAATTAGCAAAATTCTTCAATTTACCTTGTATAAACTTTCTACTAATAATCAGTTACATTACAAATTTTTCTTACTATAACTACATTGATTGAAGTGTAAGAGTCAGAAAATTCTACTTACAACATAGTTGGGGAGGTGTACTTCTGTAGATTGGATACCTTCAACATTTTTCTTGGAGAGACTTGTGAGGAGACTTCAGAGAGCTGAGGAGACCTCGGAGGCATCTTAATTTTCTGGCTCTAACCTGAGTTTTTAAATGACTTTTCTTCACTGCACCATTTCCAGTGCTGTGGTATGCGAGTCCTTGCCACTTACCAGTTCCTAACCACTGGGCTGGTGGACCATAGAGGCCAATCCTTCTGAGTGAAGCACAATACCACTCAGGTGTTGGTTGGAGCACTCTGCCATATATATATATATATTGAAGTTTGTCCCTCCGGCTGAGATATTCCTCCTTCCTATCATCCCCCAGATCTCAGTTTCCAATTGGGTCAGGTGTTGATTGTAGAAGGCCCAGCCACATAAGTCCTCACAAGTGTTTGGTTGGTTCCATCCTCCTACTGCAGACTGGATGATAAATTCCCAATGCTGCCAGGTTTTGGACTGGAGATGTTCCCCAATTTAATGTCCCTCTTCATTTTCCTATCGTTTGCTGGATGTCGGCTCATAGTAGATCTGGTGTTATTTGAAGTTGGACAAAACACCTGTTTACCTGCATGTGTAAGGCTGGCATCCCTGTTCCTACTGTAGACTGTACATAACATTCCCATTGATGCTAGGTTTTGGACCACAGGTGAATGCCTCCTGAGCTCTCCTTACTACCTAACATCTGCTCGATGTCAGTTCCCAGTGGATCCAGTGTCAGTTGTGTGCACATAGAGAGTTGGATTTTTGGTACTGATGCTTATATTCCCATCCAGTACCCGTTTTTGAGGTGAAAGGTGGAGGACCCTCTTTCTACTGTGGACCTGATGTACAATTCCAGATGCTGCCAGATGTTCCTTTTACTGCTGATGACATTTTAGTGACCCTCCATGTTTCTGTCCTTTCAGTTTTGGCAAAACATTCCTGTAGGGTGAGGAGTATACCTGCCTCAGTTTAGGAAAATGTTAACTTTCATAAGTCCAAGTCATTTCTAGAGCTTCTCTTTTCATTTGGAGTGAGTGCTGTTTGTTCATAAGCTACTATATGTGTTGAATTGGTTTTCAGAGTTTGCTGATTGAGAATGACTCTGATACCAAGTGGACTGGCATTTACAAGAATGTTGTGTCTTTGGCTTGTTAAAAGTAAGTCATTGCCATATGGATTATCAGTTGACATTCAGATATACCTAGTACAAATTTATTCTCCAGTCCCCAACATTACATGTTTACAGAGAGGATGAGAAGTCATGATAAAGTCAAGTATAGAGCATTTACCATATGTTACCATCCCAAGCAGTCTGCACACTTTAATGGAATTATTTGAATTTAGTACGTGCAGAGATATCTTCTTTCGAGAAAATTCATCCACAAAATTCTAACTTTGACTTACTATACTCACAGTTGTCCATGTTGAGGGGGATGGGTTTTTTTTCTGCAGTCTCTGGAATACAGCTTTCAGGCTCTTGCATGTTTATTTTTGATTTTTCAAAATATGAGAATGTAGTCATTAATGTTTCTGACTTTGGGAATACCTTGAAACACTTGTTAAATGGTGTTCTAAAACACTTTGTCTGCAGAGGAAATTCCAAAATTATCTATTTTATGATTCCATAACCCAATGTGAGTGGTAAATGTGTTGATGACTCATAACTAAGGAGTGAGTTCTAGCTGATGGTAATCAGCATGTAAATCAAGTCTGGAAACAACCACTGCACCATTGAGGCCATGGATTAATTCACCTACTGTGACTTCTCAAAAGATATCTGTGTTTGGTAGACAAATATCAACACAAATGTGAACTTTGTTTGGGTTGTGCTGTTGTCATTGGACTACTTAGTTTTTCAACAGTTCTTTGTGCTTCTGTTAGTGCAGTTCAATCTAAACTGTTTTCCTTGTGTGAAAAGAGATCCTTTTGTGTGGTTGAATAATTGATGGTATATTTGGATTGATGTGCAATTTAGCTTAGAAGTCTTTAAGCTTGTCAATGCATGCAGAGAGATTTACATAATCTTTTAGGAGTGTGTTAATTTATAGCATGCCATCCTTTTGGTAGTCGGGTGACAATGAGTTGACTATTTGCAACAGTTCAAGGTCAACAGCTGTCTTGGAGCTTAATAAGGACCCACAGCTTCTCTTTACTACAAAGAAAGTGGGAGAGATTCTCCCTTGACGCTGACTGTGGTGTTAAATATCGCTATCAATGGAACAACCATGTGAACAAATTTTGATTTTTTCAAATTATATAGTGTTAGTTTTTGGTAGGCAATTCTGTCAGTTACATTTCCACTTGCTACACTATTATCTAATGTTGGGCATCTCGGATATGTAATTTAATGAATGGTTGCTAGGGTTGATCAATAAACACAGTGTAAAAATGTGTCTATGAAACTGGAAGAACTGCAGTCTCTATTGCTTGTAGTGTCATTGTTCACAAGCACTTTATGTACATTGTGTTCTGGTTTTATTTGAGTTGTGGATATCTTGCATTCTGTGTTTTTGTACCAACTTGTGGTTTAAAACAGCAGAACTCTTAAAAATGGTTCATTTTACCACATTGTGATTGCTTTGTCTTTGTGGTTGTATTTTTGAGAAGACACCTCAATGGACCTAAGATGTGTCTTCTTTTAGAGACCTTAATGGACCTAACATGTGTCTTCCTTTAGAGAGAAGTTTAAATTTTTGTTCATCTATCACTATATGTGCTTTACCATGCCAACTGGACTGAAGAGTTTGAGGAAGAAACAATAACACACACTTTTAATAAGTTTAAATGTATTGTACTCTGATTTAAATCTATGTTGTGAAAAAAGAAATAACTAAAGGCTGGAACAGGGTTACATACAAAATCTGTACTAGCTTTCATAGCTATATTAACAAAGACATTAAGCTCTTAAGCAAAGAAGAAATATATGGAATTTATTATATTGATAAATGCATAAGCTTCTTATTTTATCTGTTTTTCACCCCAAAACCATTAAAGTACTGTGAAACTTACTTCTTTCTTCAGACCCAAAATAAGTAACCTTGAAACACTGTAATAGTCTCTAAGCCTATATAACTCATCATACCCGAAATATGTAATCTGAAAACAGTATTTCAGTTTTTAAAGGTACTTCTTTCTTGAAGTAACCTTGAAATAGTGTAATAGCCTCTTTCTTGTAATATCCTGATCCCAGTAGCTTTGAAACAATAATGTTTTGTTTTCTATTTACTAAATTTAGCATCCTTAAAATGATATAATAGCATCCATACTCACCTCTTTTTTTTTTACTGCATTGAGTTCATTGACTTAACATCAGTAAAATAATACCGATCTTACAGCCATTCATATCTTGTGTTTAGAGAGCTTTTAAAAAGAATGAAATAGTTTGTATACACAAATATTGTTAACATGTATATAAGATTAATCCTGAATTTTTATAGTCAAAACACAATTTTCGATTTTTTAAAACAAGTAACTTAATAGTATTATAAATAATAATAAATTGGAAAATGATTCTTCAAATATTTTAATAAAATTTCCCGATTACTGCAAATCTCTCGTTGAAAAGCAGATACATACAAGAAAAAAGTGTTAGTTTATTTTAGTGATAAAGTATCACTATACGATCCTAGCTGAAATAGTAAACAAAAAAGACTTGTGTTGGCAGTTTATTTTAGTGATAAAGCAACACAATATGATCCTAGCTGAGATAGTAAACAAAAAAGACTCTTGTGTTGGCAGTTTATTTTAGTGATAAAACATCACTATACGATCCTAGCTGAAATAGTAAAAAAAAAAGACTTGTGATGTTAGTTTATTTTAGTGATAAAGCAACACAATACAATTCTAGCTGAAATAGTAAACAAAAAGTCTTGCGATGCTACTTCAAAATTTTCAGTAAATAATATTACTACAGTTATCTGAGTATGTTTCACGATCATTAATTTTTTTTCATTAAAAGGAAGATATGTAGTTTCCTGATACAGATCTAAGTTACATTTCAGCTCGGTATGAAGTCAACCATACAGATCAGCAACAATCTGTAACCCAACTAATAATCAACACCTGATCAAAACTAAAAAATATGTGCAAATCAATAAGGTTATTTCCTTAACAAAACTAAAACTTATACTGAATAGGAACACATTAATTCATCACATTACTGGACAACCTCATCTCTAACACTATTTCATTGTGTATGAACAAGTTATAAACATTAATAATTTTGTGGTCTTCATAACTTAAATACAGTTTTTACATGTGAGAAAGTTAAGATATTGTTTTTTTAACATGAAGTATGTAGAAAAATTCCTGAAATTTGAAACAGTTCTTTGTCTTTTTAAAAATATATTGAATATTAGAAAATTGTATTCCATTCTGATGAAAAGTAAAAACAGTACAGAGAAACTAAAGCATTTTTTTTATTCTTAGGACCTAGGCTCAGGGAGTGGGAGTGGTGATAATGACAATCAAGAATAAAGTGACTAACAGGACAAGTATACAAATACTTAAACATTAAACTCATTTATTAAACCTTGTTCTTCATCCAGTAGTATACATTAATTATTATATACTTTGTTGTGTATTGTTTGTAACTGACAAATCAAAGATAAAATTTTGTTTGTAATAATAAAAACTTGTAAAACTTGAGTGTCATTACTGACTCAATAAAGTCATTAGATTGTCTAATCCGGTGGTTCTTAACCGTTATTGGCTCAGGACCAAGTTGTGAACATTGATGTCAATTCAGTAAACATGAAATAGTTTTACTATGGTTTAAGATACATGGGACTTTTCTACAACTGTAACATGGTGTATATACAAGGTAAGATAACCTGAACTATCAACCTGAACTATTGTCACCCCATGTTACAGTTGTAGAAAAGTTCCATATATACAAGGTAAGATAACCTGAACTATTGTCACCCCATGTTACAGTTGTAGAAAAGTCCCACATATCCAAGGAAAGTTAACCTGAACTATTGCTGCCCCATGTTACAGTTGTAGAAAAGTTCCATAACTTACCTTGGATATATGGGACTTTTCTACAACTGTAACATGCAGCAGCAATAGTTCAGGTTAACTTACCTTGGATATATGGAACTTTTCTACAACTGTAACATGGGGCAGCAATAGTTCAGGTTAACTTTCCTTGGATATATGGGACTTTTCTACAACTGTAACATGCAGCAGCAATAGTTCAGGTTAACTTACCTTGGATATATGGAACTTTTCTACAACTGTAACATGGGGTGACGATAGTTCAGGTTATCTTACCTTGTATATATGGAACTTTTCAACAACTGTAACATGGGGCAGCAATGGTTCATGTTATCTTACCTTGTATATGGAACTTTTCTACAACTGTAACATGGGGCAGCGATAGTTCAGGTTAACCTACCTTGTATATGTGGGACTTTTCAACAACTGTAACATGGGGCAGCGATAGTTCAGGTTAACCCACCTCGTATATGTGGGACTTTTCTACAACTGTAACATGTAGCAGCAATAGTTCAGGTTAACTTACCTTGTTTATGTGGGACTTTTCAACAACTGTAACATGGGGCAGCGATAGTTCAGGTTATTGTGATCTATTTTCCCGATTGATCAGGTTAATTGTGAATGTGTTTTTAAACAGATTTGATTTGAAAGATACAAGACTTGCTGTACTGGTCTTGTCCTTATTCTCTATATTGTCCAGCTGCTGATCATGAGTACTTCTCATTTCTATTCTAGTACAATTCCTCTCGATTTATCCATCCATTTTATTGTACTCAATTTCACACCATTACTCAATCAGCCTTTCTTCGTTTTGTTATTCAGAAAATAAAGTACTTCTTTTTCATTTTAAATTCAACATTGTAACTTGTCTCTTTTATTCCACCTAAAACAAATTATTCAACCTGTCTTTCCACAAGCAGTATGTCCTCAAATCTCTAGCTGGTGCAGATGTCATGTAACTGTGTGCCCAATTTATTCTTGAATTACCACAACGTTAGACATTCTCATACATGTGCTTTATTTAACCAACATTTACAAGTAATTAATACTACACTGACTAATACACTCAGATCTGATATCTCAGTATGCTTAATATAATATAAATTACACTATCGAATGTTATTGTGTAAATATGTTTTTTTAACTTCAGGCTTAAAAATAAAAAAATATTAATAAGATTAAGAACAATTTCACTTTCCTAACTGGGTCATTAAAACTTTCAACAACTTTCTGCACCAAAGAGGATATAATTTTTCTTAGTCCACCATCTTAACAGTTCAAGAGAAGAATATTCTGTAAGAAGGTAACCATGTGCACATTTCATCAGTGGAGTTTTTATCTTCTTAACCCTTAAATTGTTTGTACACGCATTTTGCCAATTAAATCAAGTTCAGTTCCTCTTATTAAGATTTTTTGAATATTTCACTTTATAAATCTGCTATTCTTGGCAGCATCATATAACTCAAAATATGGCATTAAAATACCAACCTCTCTACAGCTGTTCCATGAAGTTGGCAAAAACAGTAAATAAAGTAATTTAATTGTATAACAGAAGGTTCTGATCTAGATTATGCTTAAATTAATATAATGCAAAATGTTACATTGGTTTCACTGAAACAAATAACATTTCCTATATAGTGTGAAATACAAAGCTGTTTCTTTTTTTTTAAAAAAGAAATATGCAAAATGCTTCTGAAAAATTTACAAGACATTTTGCATTTTATGCACCTTAAGCATCTAGTTTGTGATTGGTTATATATACACCCATACACACAATTATTAATAATATTACAAAAAGACTTATGAGTATCAATTTAGTAATTATGAATTCCACTTCTTTATTTTATTATCGAACGTACTGTGAGAAAGACAAAACTGAAAAATCATACATCCAGTTTCAAATAACCAACCTTTAATTTGTCTGACCAACAAATTTTAATTACCAGCTAACCAAGGAAACTATAAAAGTTACTTGGCAATTTGTTTCTCCAGAAAAACTTATTAAACACACTTCTTTAAATAGTAATTGTTATATAGTTTTACATTTATGTTCAAATCTAATATTGCAGATAGAGACAAAAACAATATCTAATAAATTTTCAAAGCATAAATTTTTGCTGTTGACTTGCTAATGATTACATGTAAGTATACAAAATGCTTACAGTTGTACACTGCATTTTAAGATATTCAAACACGTCATTTAAATTCAAAGAAATTTTATGTAGAGCATTTACTTCAGGCATTTTGTGGTATGTAGGCATATACCAAGCATTTTATGCCTTCTTATTTTAAGGTAGGAATTTTTAAAATATTTTGTTTATTTTAGGTCTATTCAGTTCTCACATAACATGTGGTTAAGAAATTCATTAAGTTGTTTTCACTTTAGCTACCTTGTTCTTTATCATTCCCTTAGAGATAAAACCTGGTCTGCCCAAGGGAGGTTCGGCTGTAAAGCTGCACCTTGTGCATGAAGGTGGATAGCAGGTGGTATCTCTAGGCAACAACGTACCTTATGTTTGAATGGGAATGACTAGTCATGTGGGTAGTGCTAGTTGTTCTGTGTAAACGTGATGTTACCAACTCAACTCAGTAACATTAGATTTAAAGTATGAAACATCATCTTGATTGGTTGGTTTGGAAATGTCATGAGGGAGTAGAGCCAGCTTGATCTGTTGTAAACTACATGAAAGTACACACATTGTGTTTCTGAAATTAATAAAGACTGTTTTCACTGTGTATAATATTCAGTATCCAGTTTGTTTATTTCACTGCACAGACTCAGTTTTAGTGGAACTTGGTATTACCTCACAATTTATCTTGCCAACCTCCTGTTATATAGTGTAACTACCTAATATACTCTTTTGGAAAATCATTTTATCTGCAAATACAACAATTCAAACAATGTTTAAACAAAGCTGAATAAATGTTCTGTATCATTTACTTCAGGCATTCAAAAATTGTTTAAACAAAAGTGAAGAAATATTCTGTAGATCATTTACTTTACACTTTTTTGTGTTTGACTCAAAATTGAAAAAAAAATGTGCTTGGGAACATTTTCCCAGAATCTACACACACTTTACATTCTATAACCAAGTAAGGATCTAACTTTTGATCAAGTATGTATAAGCTTTATACACTCGAGTGATCCACATTCATCCTCACTTTAAAACTTTTATTTCATATTATATCAGTACCTATATAACTTGGTTGCAGGAATTTGATGACGAGGAACCCACTTTGAGACTAATAATGCTTGGAGATGGTTTGAATGGATAATGAAGAAAAACTTTAATATAAGTTTAACATAAAAGCAAATGTACAATGTTTCAACAAGGTTTTGTACCTGATGGTGACAAAATGTTGTACATTTAAAGTTTTTCTTCATTACCCATTCAAGCCATCTTCAAGCATTATTGGTTGCAGGAAATATTACATTGATACTTACTTACTACTTGCTTCTATGAAAACATTTTGACTGAGATGTTTATAGCTTTCCAGATATTAACATAAAATAGTCAGCTACCAATGGTTATCTCAAACATTGACATTTATACTACAATGCCAAGGTTACTCAAGAATGTAATATATATGTGTGTGTGTAAACAGAGAAAAATAATCGTAAATGTTAACAATTATTTGTGTACATGTTAAATGATAATGATTAAATTATTATTTTTATGTAATAAGCAGTTTACATGGTGAAAAGTACAATAAGACTATTTTATATTTTCAATGAAGCATTATGTAACTAGTTAATAAAGAACACACTTAAAATATTTGACAATGGAAAATGTTATAAAGTTCAGCAGAATGTTTAGTGATAACAATATCTTCTAAAACATTTGAAATACTTCAACTCACTGATATTAATAAAAATACCTTAACAATCAAAATATTGTACAAATCATAAATCAGTTCTAAAGCATTTAAGAACTAATACCACCAAACATACAATACCAAAGACATTAACTTGTGAAAAAATATAAACGATGGTGAACTAGTAAAATATATTACTCTATTCATATATAAAGTTCTTTGTCTTAAAAAACTTGATGACATATCACAAAAAAAAGTGAAAATGTTGAAAAAATTTAACACGTTTTAAATATCACACAATAAGTTACAAAATCCTTTCTGGCTCCAATTAACTTTGTTTTCATGAAAATAACTAAATGTAACTTAGCTATGATTTGTTTTATTTAACAACTACACAAATATTCATATCAAACTTTATATAAATTTGATAATATTTGTAAATCGTAACTTTAAAACTGTTTTATATAACTATTTATGAATACAATTCCATAAGAGGTTACATCTTGTAAGGTGTGGCAGCCCTGGAGTCAAACTTTCCTGACAATTCCTTTATTTTTCTCACACGAGTGATATTTTCTATTTCCATTCATCTAAAATGAATATTAGTTAAATTTCTTGCTTTAGATGAAATCAAGTATCTTGATAGTGTTATTTAAGTCATCTACTTTTACATTATATTCTTAACCCAGATGCACATTTAAGCATTTTGTCATTGTTACATTTAAAGATTTATTTTTTAGACCACCAGTAATTTAGGTACCTACTGGTCATCACACATTTAAACATGGATGTAAAAGTATGACATTTTAATTTATTGCAGTGGAAATTCTTAAAAACTACAAACTTAAATTCAATTGGTCAGTGTAACATACACTACAGTCAGGATGCATAACATACTCCAACGAGGTGAAAACAAATGTAATACAATTTAAATATTTACTATATGTAAATATGACTGACTCTACACAATACAACTATAACAAGATTTTAACTTGTATACTTAGATCAAACGAATATTAAAATAAAATCAATGAACAAAAATATTTCAAAAATATAAAAATAAGTAAAAGATGTAAATAATGTACATAAGCATAATTTTAACAATGTAAAAACATCCATAAATTAAAAGAAAATCTTTAAAAGTACATATGCACAAATATATACATATGCACAATGCTGCAAAATATACGTTAACAGGCAGGGCTGTAGAAATGTTGCACACACAGTTTGCATTCAATAATCTTGCCAATAGATGCAGATTTACCTTAAGATGAAACAAGTTAATAAACAAAAATCTAAATCCTAGTAACTAACAGGTCTCATCACTAGAAGTCAGAATGATCAACTTCAAATTTACAGAAAATATATATATTTGTTTTGTACAAATTTCCAAGTTACTCAGTTAAAACAAGCATATTTAATCACAAGTGAAGTAGTCTGCCTCCCATAAAGAATTATGAAAGTTAGGGGGAGGGAGGGCTATCCAAAGCATTTTTGGTGATCATGCAGCCCTGGCAGCAAGAAACAAAATGTATTTAATAAAACTGTTACTGTAAGTTTAATCACTAAACCATATATATATTTGAGTAAAAAAATGTTATGCCACCAATACTTTCTTTATACAAATAGTGTAAAACTATAATTAAGAATACAAAATAAATTTCTGTTCATTTGTTTAAGAAAACACTATTCACCAAAAATAATCTTATTACGCAAAAAGCAATATATGTATATGTATATATATACAGAGCAAAAAGTTTGTTCTCACGAATATTTTTATTCTAACATCATTTATAAAAAACCTTAAAAAAACTTTGAACTTCTTTAGAAACGAATAAAGCTTGCCAAATTGTTTTTACACAAACTGATATATTTTAATGGATTGTTTTTTATAAAACATGAAAAATTATAACAGATGACACCAATGATTTTACTTTACACTTCCTTGTACTAATGCTCAACTTTGTTAAATATATATATATATATAAAACTTAAAAAATAAATATGTGAAATTTGTAATGAACAAATACATGTAGACCAGTATAAGCATTTTAAAAATTATTGTATATTAAGATATAAATTAATAAAGATATAAGATATATGTAAAAATATATAAACAATTGAAATTACAATAAAATGCAGTATATTAAATTTTTACATCTATAGCAGTTTTTACTCTGAATTAACTATTCTTGTTTTACTTTAAACCATATGTTACAATTAATTTTTGATTATATGTATAATATGGGACAACAGTAATCAGTTCTCCATCCTCACAAACCATTGTACATTAGCAATAAATAGACAATATTAGAGTTCAAGGAGGATATTTATGTTTTAACTGGCACTTAATAAACTCTTCATTGTCATTACCTTCTAAAGGCTACATTAAGTCTTTTATACAATACAGCTGTAAGTCTCTAAATGGTTGAGTTAAAATTCTATATATGGTTTATCTATAGATAAAACAAGTCTCTTTTTGTACAACAGAACTAGACTGGTGCTAACATCAATATAAAAAAGAGGTAAGTATAAGAGCATTAGATTAGTGCTATCTAACATTCAAGTATTGTTCTAAGATGCAAGAGTAAGGTAGAACTAGTTAGTGCTATCTACCATCGACAAAAAAGTTCTAAGATGTAAGAGTAAGGTAGAACTACTTAGTGTTATCTGCCATTGAAACATTGTTCTAAGATGTAAGAGTAAGGTAGAACTAGTGAGTGCTATCTACCATTGAAGTATTGTTCTAAGATGCAAGAGTAAGGTAGAACTAGTTAGTGCTATCTACCATCGACAAAAAAGTTCTAAGATGTAAGAGTAAGGTAGAACTAGTTAGTGCTATCTACCATCGACAAAAAAGTTCTAAGATGTAAGAGTAAGGTAGAACTAGTGAGTGCTATCTACCATTGAAGTATTGTTCTACGATGCAGGGCTTGAGTTGAGGGGGAGCAAACTGGAGTGCAGTTCCTGTTGTAAGAAATTGTTGTGAAAATGTTCCCATTATTAAAAAATTTTATGAAAACATTCTTGTTATAGAATGTCCAAGGACATATGTAAATTTAAAAAATAAGTTATCATAATCTTACCAATTCATATCATTTATACAGACCTACTTCATCGTAGGCTTACTTTGAAAAATATTCTTCTTCTTTTGTGTGTCAACATACATTGTGACATCATCAAATAATTGAAATGAGGCTGTTGTTGACTTTTTTGCAACCATTTTAGAATGTCAAAAGCCTTTGGAAATGTATGTTTTATAATCATATCCAAGATACAGTGTATACATACCCAAAAATTCAGTTTATAAAGTATAAGACATGGTTTAATTTTCTATCACAGTAACAACTTCATAAAACCAATTATCCCCATCTTTGTACAAGATAATGTTGTGATATCTTTCATTTAGCTTAGAGGTGAAACCAAATTTATCACTTCTTTTCTATCATACTCGATCACCATATAATCACTTAGTTCAGCTTTTCACTTCAACTATGCCAGATTACAACTTAGACTTGTGATTCTGATTGGTAAATAGCTCAAAGTGCATCTCAAACCCTATAGCTTCCAGAGGCCACCAGAGGGGCTGTTAAACTGAGCTCTACTTACACAAATCAAGCCCTGCCAAGATGTAAGAGTAAGGTAGAACTAGGTTAGTGATATCTAACATTACTGTAATGTTCTAAAAGGTACGAGTAAGGGAGAACTATGTAAGTGCTATCTAACACTGATGTAATGTTCTAAATGGTACGAGTAAGGTAGAACTAGGTTAGTGATATCTAACATTACTGTAATGTTCTAAAAGGTACGAGTAAGGGAGAACTATGTAAGTGCTATCTAACACTGATGTTATGTTCTAAGTCATAAGAGTATGAACAATTGGAGTTCTTCTACCTAGAAATACCTTCATATTTAAGCAGCAGGAATAATAAAGGAAATTAATTAATAGTAATGTAATATAACAATCATATTGTTTTCAGAATTAAAAGTTAAGTCTAGTTACTTCTAATACCACAATCGATGTTTTAAGAGGTAGATGTAGAAGAACAAAAATCTGGCTTATTACAAACTAAACAACAATTTAGGTAAACTATGTTACACCTAATTATGGTTACTGGATAAATACAATGGACTATTCTTAACAATGAGTTATGTCATTACAGTATTGTGAGGTATAGAAAAAACAAGCATTTACTATGTACAACTAACTTAGATTATTTATCTAACATTTTTCAAATATCAACTAAAACAACAGAAATCCAGCCACAAAGGTTTTTTAACTTAAGGTTAGAATCATGCATCTTTGATTTTTTTTTCAATGCCTATGTTAGTGCATTCTGAAACTAAAAAATAAATAAACAATAAATCTTTCTCCCACATCATGTGATCAGCAATGAAAGGCATAATCCTCACAATCAGTCTGATCATGTGATCCAAGTAGATTGGTAAAGTGGCCTTAAAAATTAAAATGGAGCCAATTCACCAGAAGAAAGGGAAAACTTTTAAACTGCTTCTGCATCTGTTAGATAAGAAATAAATAACTCAATTAAAATAAAATTCTATATTGTTTTTTACTCATGTTACACAATTTTAAAAACACAGAAAAAAATATTTGTCTTCAGTTATATTGTAAACAAAGAAGAGCTTTAAAAATAAGATTATTCAAACAAAATCCCAACATTTAAAAGGCCATGACATCTTTTTATAAAATGATTTCCACATTTTCGATTGTTTTTATAATCAAGATAAAGCTTCACAATGAAACAATATTACCTTCCAGTTGCAATGTACTGTTATTTTAAATAATCACTAAAATGAATCTTTTCAACGAAACAATATTACCTTCCAGTTGCAAAGTACTGTTATTTTAAATAATCACTAAGATGAATCTTTTCAACAAAACAATATTACCTTCCAGTTGCAAAGTACTGTTATTTTAAATAATCACTAAGATGAATCTTTTCAACAAAACAATATTACTTTCCAGTTGCAAAGTATTGTTATTTTAAATAATCACAAAGATGAATCTTTTCAATGAAACAATATTATCTTCCAGTTTCAAAGTACTGTTATTTTAAATAATCACTGAGATGAATCTTTTCAATGAAACAATACTACCTCTGAATTGCCAAGTATTGTTACTTTAAATAATCACGGAGATGAATCTTTACAAGGAAACAATATTACCTTCCAATGGGCAAGTACTGTTACCAAAAAATCACTAAGATTAATCTTTACAATGAAACAATATTACCTTCCAGTTGGCAAATACTGTTACTTTGAAGCCTTACGTTGAAATGATATTACTTTCCATTGCCTCAGAACTGTTACTTTGAATAATCATTAAGATAACGCTTTATATTAAAACAATATTACCTTCCAATTGCTGAGAACTACTACTTTGAACAATCACTAAGATAAATCTTCACAGTGTAACACTAATTAACACCTTCTAGTTGTCAAGTGCTATTACATTGAATAATAACTAAAACAAAGTTTTACATTGAAACAATATTACCTTCCAGTGGCCTAGTACTGTTACTCTGAACAACAGTTGGAAAAACTTGGACAGTGTTAGCTTTTTTGGACTTTTTGCTGGTGGAATTGGAATGGCCCTCACCTTTTAAAACTGAGAAAATAGAAGAATAACCATGAAATTTACAGAAATGTTTATTTACAGTATTATAATAATCAGTGATAAACTTTCTTACATGCAAAATTATTATAGATTTTTTTTACTAGATTAAAGCAATAAAAGTGATTAAATATGTAAGCAATAAAAAAGCTAATCTGATGATGCCTTTAGTGGTGAAACCATGGTCATTAACATGGTTCCCCACAGGAACGAGCAAGAAAAGGCATTTGCCCCATTTACATTTCACAAAACTTACACATATTATAATGTAAACTTAACATATTGTGATGATCAATCATTTTGAAAAACTACAAGAAATATCATGTATTTTATGAAATGATTGATTTCACACATGCTAACATACCTTTAAGTGACACCACTCTTCAGATAAGGCCAAAAACAATATGTGTCACACATAAAAGACAAAACTAGGGTGCAAACTACATCATGGGAAGGATAAAATGCACCACAGTAAAAGATGTGTTCATGGAAGAATGAGCCACACAGTGGTTCCTACTGTGGTACCTTTACCGTTCCCAATATGTACATTGGAAACTAATTTTATGTATCTGTTTTTTTTCATTTTGACTTGATGTCCAAAGAGTTTATTTGAATATTGACCATATGTGAATGGGTGGGGTCAAAGTAAGCATGCTACTCCTTTTACAGAGTGCCATTTAACATGGTATTGTGTATATTATAGTCTCCAATGCCAGGTTAAAAATTGGCTGTTATATATATCTTTCTCAAAAGGCATTATCTGGAAATTTTTAAATGGGAAACTTGATTATTATAGCAATGATATTATGCATTTTTTTCAGTTATCAGCTATTAATTTTGTCCTACATTACTGGCTTAGTGATAGGTCATGGTAGAAAAGAGTAATTACCAGATACAATATATGGAGATACTAAAAAAGATACATATTCATATTGGATGTCCTAGAAGTTATGCAAACTGTACAATGGACAAGTATTCTTATTCTCCATACAAACATTACCTTGCACTCCGACTAATCAGAATCTGAGTCAGATTGATGTCATCAATTCGCAGACATATCTTGAATACAAATACTTTCATAACACATCTTAATTTTTGTGTACAACAGGCTTATACATTTTACTAAAAGCTTGCCACATTTAATGTAGATACATATAGCAAATTTGGAATTACAGTCATCATTCCTTCACCAATACGTGGTTGGACCTTGCCACATTTCATGTAGATACACATAGTAAATTTGGAATTACAGTCATCATTCCTTCTCCAATATGTGATTGGATCTTGCCACATTTCATGTAGATACATATAGCAAATTTGGAATTACAGTCATCATTCCTTCTCCAATACGTGGTTGGACCTTGCCACATTTCATGTAGATACACATAGTAAATTTGGAATTACAGTCATCATTCCTTCTCCAATATGTGGTTGGACCTTGCCACATTTCATGTAGATACATATAGTAAATTTGGAATTACAGTCATCATTCCTTCTCCAATATGAAGTCAGACCAATACATTTAATTAAAGATAAGATGCTATTTTTTATTTCTTTCCTTTAGAAGTTAAAAGAATATAACTGTTTAGTCATTTTTTTCATAACACTTTTCACAGGTGGACATGTCTTCTTCAGGAGTTATTTATTTGTTTCAGAATTTTTATACACAAAGATCTCTACACACATCTCTCCCTTATTTTGAACTGACAGACTAGAAAGAAGGCAGCCAGTCAACAGCACCCACTGCCAACTCTTGCTTGGTCATCACTCATATAGTGCACTCATGGTTCCAAAGCATTGAGCATGGGTTTTACAGAAGGTGATCCTCATCTTACTAAATATTTACTTGTCATGGAATTAACAGAAAATAAAAATACTTAACTGTAACAAGGTTTACAGAAAATGCATTTTTCTTACAAAATACTTAATTGTAATAAGGTGTACAAAAAAATGCACTTACTTGTCATGGGGATGACTGAGGTGTACTCTTTTACACAGAGACTATGTAGGCTGCAACGAGACCAGAAACAGCAGACAACAGTAATAATTGTCAAGGTTACACATGACAGTGTAACTGTTAGGGCTATCACCATGGCTAACCTGTTGGTGTGACAACTAGTGTTATGAAAATTGTTGAATTTATAATTACTGATTTATTTTAACCATATCTAGCTTTGAGAAACATATATATTAAATTATATTTCAAATTACCCATAGAAATAATTTAATTAATTAATTAGCAGGATTCTATAAAACAAAAAAACAATCTAAATCCAACCTCTGAATATTAATTTTTTATTGGAGGGGCAGGGGTGGGGTTTGAGTTTTTGTAATTAATGTACTACTAACAGCTAATTTGTAGCCTAGAATGTATATGATTATTTTGGATTTTTTGGAATAAATAAATAAGTAAAAAAGTGTAAAACTAAATACACCACTTGTGAAAGAAACCTTATTTATCTTTTATTATTTTCTACTATTAATTATTTCATTCATCTTAGTGGCCATTACCCAAAAGAACACGAAGCAGACCTAAGAATATATAATGCCAGTGTTCTATATCATAGTTCCCAAAGATAACTATATGCATCTGTTCCTCCAATGATTATTCGTCCAAACTTTAGCTATTATTCTCATATATTACATACATTCAGATAAAACCCAAATATTTTAAGCTACATTTAAGTGCATCTAAATATATTACAAGCTATTTCAAAAGAGATGCTTTCTTCTTCAATTTCTTTATTTGATGACCTAAGGAGGTTCCATATGCAAACATTGCAATAGCATGGTGTGTATGAAAGAAACAATGTGTGAAGATTGTGTTAAATTGTATAAATTTACAGAAGACCATGATGTAATTGATGTGTCTGATGTAATTAGGGAAACACACAGGAAGCTGAATCTCACATGGGCTACATACAACCCACAGGCTGGAGGTTGATAAACTGTTGTACTATACTTCTAATGTTTGCTAGGGGGAGCTGCTAACATGATAATAACACTAGAGTTAGAAAGTTTATATTAAAATTCGTCCTAAAATGTTCAGGATCAAGGGCTGATTTTTACAAAACATAATTTTTTTTAATCAAAGAAAGCTTGATAGTTTTAATGAATGAATCAGAATGTAGAAGATTAATTCCAATATTGATTCAGTGAACTGTCATATGCACTTGAGGCAAGGAAAGTTGAATGGACTTACTTATTATGAGAGAGAAACATTTGTTTTGTGAGAAATTGTAAGGAATCGGGTGGAAATGAAAAACCTTCAGATCTTGTTTTTTTTAAGATAAAAATAACTATTTAGAGTTCTTGGTTCTATTTGTAGGAATTTTTAACTTAAAACCCTAATGAGACTTCAATGATTTTAAGTTTCATCCCCAGAACCATCCTACAAACCCTCCTCTGAAGGTTAGTATTATTTCTTAGTAGTGATTTGTATAAAAAGATAATTCCCTCTTTAGACTTTTAATCAATATGACTATAAGTACACCTTAAAATTCTAATATTTTTTATAATGACTGCTAGCAACAAAGCTTGACGGCCTAAGTGACATATTCCCCCCATGGCAAGATCCTTTTGTTCATTCACTCTATTGAGTGTGTGTGTTTCCATGTCGGTTATATATATGTGATTAAAATTATGATAATCCAAAGCAGTTATCTTAAAGGTCATCTGCCAAATATTTGTCAAACAAACCAACTGAACCAAATCATTCTACAGTACCCAAACATTCTCAATACAGACTAGAAATAGAATTTAATGTTATCAGCAAACTTTACTAGCTGCCTCCCCCCCCCCCACCTCAAATCAATAATAAAAATGGAAAGGACCAAACACTGACCCTAAAACACTCCACTAGTAACAAGGGTCCAGTTTGAATGGATGCCATTAAGAACATTTAATCTTTTGATTTTTTAATTCTACTTCTGATTATACCAAAACCAAGTCAGTTAAACTCCATCTTAACACTATTTTAAAATGTGTACTACTTGTGTTCTTCATATATTTGAGAAATCACTGAACTTTAGCTATAAATACTTACCAGGTTTGAAATTCATAAAAATGCAAGACCCGTGGGCAACAAATATGATCTTCAGTTTTACAGCATTCAGTATAGTATTCTGGGTCACTGGACAATGGACAATGGTAAAGCAGTGAAGAATACATTTCATCCTTGTCTTGAATGTCAGCTATGATAACTGTCTTGTTGTTTACAACTACTTCTCCAGGGCAATATTTACCAGCTGATAAAACATACAACAGCAATTGAAAACCATTACATACAAACTATAAGAAGATTAATAAAATACACTTTATTATTTAAAACTGTTCTCTCCATAGATTCCTCCGATGTAACTAAATTAAAATTGTATCTAATGTGGCTCCTTATGAGTAAAACTAGTTTACTACACATTTCGTACTAGTATCTATTTTTTTATGATACGTGTATGTCTGTGGGGAAAAAGAGACAAGTTTTAAACCCTGTGAAATAATACCCATATTATCAACAACATGAAATCTAAATGTTTTATGTCAAGTTTTAAAACTGAATTCAACAGCCCAAGTTCAATTTTAAGAATTTATGTGTAAGGTACAATAAAAACTAAGACCACTCAAGTAAAAAATAGGATGTTTTATACAGTGAAAGAGCCTAATACTTATTTTTAGTCACAGACTATTCAAGTACATATATTCAATGCTGTAAGTTTATCTTTTTTTTTGACAAAACATTTGAGTAAATACTTTGAAATAAAGAGCAAAACTATTAATTGCAACTGAACGTCAAAAATTTACATAAGACTCAAATTAGCCAGTACTTTTCTAACTTGGAGAGATGGCACTAACTAATTTATAAGCCATAATTAACACTTCTGTAGGCTAATTCTTGAATAACTTATGCTTACAACCAGTATGAGCCTTTTTAGAAATATTTTGCCTTTAATTTGCATATTATAAAAACCAAGTTTTTACATACTGAAAAATTACGTATAGTTTATCTTGATAAATTTCTTATTTTTGGAAAACCAGATATTGCATTTCAAATAAAGTTGATCTTGTAAATACTTTAAATTCAATATATATATATATATATGTGTGTTGCAAAGCTACTATGGCTAACTGCTGCTATTTCTAATTTTGAACTACTGACCAGAGAAAAGGCAGCTAATAACCAGCACCCTACCATTCACACTAAGGGATTGACTGTAACTCTAATAATGCACCCATAGCTTAAATTGCAGGTAATATTTTGGGGTATCACACATATTTGAATTCTACTCACCAGCCACAAAATCCTGAGCTCTTATACAGGACCAACCCATATCCTTCTATAAACATATACAAACATTTTTACACACTATTTTCTCAGGGCTTCATTACAAAAATAATATAAAAAACTGCTCCGCTATGAAATGAACAATAAGAATAAATGCTTTACATGTGATGATGATAAGTTATTTTAAATCTGACAAGAACATTTTACATAAATTTCTGTTCCATATTCTTAATACCTGATAACATAAATATAAGACCAATATTTGTAAGGAAAAACATAATTTTATGTGATAACTGTGTTATTAAATCACTTAAGATCTTGCAAGATCCACAAAGCAAGATGGCCAAGTTATTAATCCCTTTCCAGTCTTTTATCCTTATTTTTACTATATTAAAAGTTACATTTCCATGCACACATTCAAAGGCCCTACTTTCAGTGTAAGAGTAACTTATAAACATAAGTAAGCTAATATCCTATTTTTTAATGTAGTTTTTTTTATTGTTAATACATGTTTTTTATTCTTCTTTTTGTTGAATACAGTATGCACATATTGATAAAAAAATAATGTACGAAAATAAAGAAGTTCCCATGTTACAGGGGATCCGATTGAGGTGTTAGAGGGGATCCAATTGAAGTTTTAGAGGGGATCTGATTGAGGTGTTTAAGATTTTAAAGGGAATTGATAGTGTTGATGTCATCTTTTTTCATATTTAACGGTGAGAATAGTAGGACTAGGGGATACAAATATAAATTTTGGCAAGGTATGAGTCATCTTCAGCTAAGACAGTTTCATTTTTCTAACAGGGTGGTTGGCCTTTGGAATGGGTTGCCTTTGGATGTTATGTTATGAAGCTTAATCAGCTTATTTGTGGAATATTCCTTAGTAACTATGACCATTTATTGCTATGTATATTAATAAGCATAAATAAACAAAACACATCAGTAAAGATGAATGGGCAATACTAATTTATTAAAATCATATTTACAGTTAATTAATTGGAAAGACTAATAATTCCAATTGAAAATAATATGAATAAACATGATCAAAACATTAACGCAAAATTACACACTCTGTCTTCCATATATTTACACCAACCACCCACATAGACAAGTCTGAAAAACATTAAGCATACTTTTTTTATGGAAGGAAAATTTATCATTTCTCTTTCTTATGCAAAATCAGAATCCCTGCAACATTCCGGAACAATCATTAAAAGAAGATATAAAGATATTATGAAGCAGTTTTAGTGTGGAAAAAAAGATCTGTATCTTCTGGGGGTATGCAAGCTCACTATGTGTCTCTTACCCTCTTATTTTATACAAAATATTTCAGGAGAGCCACTATGTTACTCTCATCCAAGTTACCTACTGAACTGAGTTATTCAACTAGGGTGTCACATGAACTTTCTTGTTGGAAAAACCCTTGTAAAGTACAGCATACTGTATAGAAAAAGCCAGTGGTCTTTTTCATTGGCAGGTCAGGTAATACATCATGGATAACACACCCCTTATTTGGAAGTAAGAGTGACCATCAGTCAAACAAGTAATGCCTCTCCCTTAAGAAGAATGGCATTGTTGGTTTATGTATATAATACCACATTTTCTAAGTCTGAAACAAGATATATATATATATATATATATGAATTATTTAAGGTTATTTAATATACTGACTTGCTTGAAACACACTGAGAGCTATACAGGAAAAGTATTACAATATACACTTCCACTATGTTTGTCATTACAACATACACTTCCACTATGTTTGTCTGGTTGAAATAAAGATATCAGTGCATTGTGCCCAGTCTCTTTCCTTGCTTCAAACCCAGTTAAGGTTATGTGAATTCAGAATGACTCTGTAGTACATGTTCGGTCAGAACCTCCTGTATTTTGCAGCTCCTACTCAATTGCTATAAGGGAAATCAGTCACCTGAGAATACTACAGCATAGTAATAAAGAGAAAATTTGCTACTGTGACCAGAGGATTTGTTCTTGAAAAGTTTTCTGTTTTACTCTTGATGAATATACTTGCCTGTGCTCTTTTGAATTCTTGAGTTATTGAGTTGAAGCTTCACACTTGAGGAAACAGCATTTAGTCAAAAAACTTGTGATGAGGAAGAAGAGTTAGATGTTGAGGAAAAACATCTGTCAGAAAGAAATGTTGGGTCTAGAAAAGGTCCTCCCTTAGACATCAGACTTTCTCTGATGCTGCAAAGTTCCAGGACTTATTTTTTATTAAGAGTGCAGACAGGGAAAGGAGAAATGCTGCTTGGTTGTTATCCAATGAAGTTTTACCTTAGTACACAGAAAGCCCAAATGACTGAGGATCATTGCAGTGGTATACTGTATGAAAAGTCTGAGACTGAATGTAATGGTCTCTACAGGACTTCCAAGCATTCATCATCTAAAGTAGATAAACCCTGACTCTGATCTATGCCAACCATGAGAAGCTGATAGAGATAGGAGGTACCACTGGTGGCCAATGTCTGCCAGCAGGTGAGATAGTGGGCAAGAACTGTTGATGATGGTGATCTGATAGAAAGTGGTGAGCCTCTCTGTGATGGGAGGTATACTACCAAGGTAACCACAGATCATAGAGAAGCCTGTGGTCAGGCAGAACCAATGAATATCTGTCATAACTCACCATTCTGAGTATGGGTACATATCCCCTCTACAACATCCCCTATGTTTAGATATCTCAGCCTGGTGTTAGCCTAGCAACCACAGATGAGTAGTTTGTGGTAAAACCACTGGTAGCTGTCATAAGAGTCTAAATAAATAGCATCCCAATGTTTAAGGATGTAGCAAAACAGGTTCTTGAGTGTTTCCTAAAGTGTCCTGGACAGGTCACTGCCTGGAATAACTGGACTCAGAAACATACAATGCATTGCTTGCCCCTGGATTTGGATGAGCTATCCCTTGATGCTATGGAGCACTTGTGTGAGGTGCAAGTATAGGACTGCAGGTGCACTAACTTTACGAGCCAGTGGAGAACAAAGCTCAAGTAAGCTGTCTATTTGGCCAAATTCGAGGTTCAAAGTGAGAACTTGGCTGCTTACATGGGCAATCTGTACAAACTGTATAGAAAAGCATACTCTGTATGGTATTGGCAGATCATGAGGATATCATCATCAATACTTTGTCGAGGGGCTCCCTATTGAGATTTTGGGGCATCATTTGGATCCAAGAGATCTTCTCACTGTAACAAAGACAGTTTCTGTGGTGACAAGGTTTGAAGTCATGACTTCTAATAGGTTGCAAGAGAGGAAAAATCCCACAGTGACAGCTACAGTGGCTGTACCTTGGACAGAATATTCTACTCAGTTCAATCCCTAAGGCCAAGAGAAAACCAACAGCCAACACATCCCAGCACTGCAACACAACCCTACTGTCTCCCAGAGAGTAGGCAGGCCTTCACTGCCCCTCCCATGATGTTTGTGCCACAGCTGATATTGATGGTGCCTCTAGAAAGGTGGACCAAAACATCTGCTTTGAGTATTGGCAGCAGGATCACTTTAAAGTAAACTACCCTACTTTGCCATGCAGCAAGATAAGTGAGGTTATCAGCTTCAACTGACTGTACAGCAGATTCAGGAGCATGGGCAGCAAACCATAGCTGCTTCTACTTCAGCTCTAGGAAACCAATGGAGCTCAAGTCAGGTCTGACCACAGACGTGAGGGGATACAGCAGGCAGCTTGCACCAAAAAGCTTTATGGTTAATCCAGCTCTCTCAGGGCTATGTGGCATTGGGTATGTACCTGTGAAGTTAAAAAGACACGTGATACAGTTTCTGGTTGATACCAATCTGCCAGAAAACTGGCTGATCTGAAACACACTGGTCATCTGATGCTGTTAGAATGGGTCCAGTAATAGTGAACTGTGTAAGTGTATGATGAGGAGGAAACCATAGTACCTCCATCTACACAAGTAGTATTCTATGGTTTACTATAGATGAGGTCTGGTGCGTTGGAGCTGTGTAATGTGGTAATAGACCCAATGCATGAGATGCACTGTTTCCTATCCAGAAAGCAAGCAGTGATCTATCTGAGTAGGAATGAAGTCTCTATGTTGTTCTGTAATTATGGACAGTTGGCTATCCAACTTCCCACTGGAATGGTTGTTGGCACAGCAGATGAAAAGTGGGTAACCAAAGCTAGCATTATCACTAGTGTTATTTCTGTTGTATTGTGTTCAAAAGCAAGTACTGAGTTGCCACCAAATCTCAAGCCAAGAGTTGAGGATTGTGCAAGCTGTCATGATTCATCACAGTGCCAGTAGCTAAGTGACCTGTTGGTTAAATATGCTGCTGCATTTGTGGGATCAAATGGCAAATGGATCAAACAAAGTAACTCACCATCAGAGAGACACAGGCAATGCACATCCAATGAAACCACCACCATGCAGCCACTGCCAAAACAGATGCTAAATGACAGAATCATACAGACTTCAGATATTGTATAATCATGTACAGTAGTGATTGTCAGGAAGAAAAAGGGTATTTCAATGTTCTGTGTTGATTTTGGATAAGTGAAATGGTGACCCGTGTCAATACCTTTACACTCCCATGGACAAGTTAATTTATGAATACATTGGAAGAGGTCTGATGGTTCAACACTTTAGACCTGACATCTAGATACTGGCAAATTAAGCTGAATAACAAGAGCAAAGTTAAATACAACTGCTTTCATTACTTGAGATGATTTGTACAAGTTTTTTGTAACATGTCTGCCACTTTCAAGTGGCTGATGGAGCTTAAAATGAAGGATGATTGGTCTATGTTGACAATATCTTAGTGTTTGACCTGTGCATGGTACTTTAACAGATAACAAAGACCAGCTCGAAGTTGAAACTGGGGAAATGTGCACTCATGTGCACGTGGGTGGGATTTCTCAATCATATTGTGGAGAGAGAAAGATTGAGTTTCTACTGGCCATGCAAAGATTGCAACATTTAGATACTGTCCTCAATGTGTGACCAAATGAGAAGTTTGCAGTTTCCTTGCATCACACCACCAAAATTTTGTGACCAGCTTCTTTTACATTGTTGCATCATTATCTACTCTCTCTAAAAGCGATTCACTTTTTAGACCAAGCATTCCAGTAACTAAAACCTGCTTTAGTTGAAGATCCAGTACTGGCATATCCACAACAAGACTATGAGTTCTTGTTGGATAGAGATGCCAGTGAGAGTGGGATTGAAGCAGTGTTATCACAATTGCAGGATAGAGTGGAACATGTGATAGTATATGCTAGTTGTATGCTTCCAGCTCTTGAACATCGATACTGCATGGTCAAAAAAAGAACTGATTGCAGTTGTGGTCTTCACCAAACACTACCTGTATGGTAGAAAGTTCTCTCTTCATGTGGCCCATGTACTGCTGAAGTGGTTTATGAATTTTAAGCATTCAGAAAGGATGATGCACATTGGATAATAATGTTACAGGAGTATGAATTTGTTGTGAAAAGTCCTTGGAAGAGAAAATGAAGGACCCAGAGCTAGCTTGGGCACTGCCATGCAGCAAAGAGAAGCACACCAGCACAGAAGAGGAAATGTAGCACAGATGTGAGTAAGCCTGTGGCTATTATACCCATAGCTATGAGTACAGGAAGGTGTGCTGTACCATTTCATCAAACACCAAGACATGTTTTTCAACCTACGTTGCAGCTAGTGATTCCCAGAGCTCCAAGGAAGAAAATTTTTAAGATTTTGAATAATGCAAAGACTGGAGGCTACAAAAGGGTTACATGCACTTGTGTTAACATGCAGTGCTGGTTTTAGTAGCCACATTCATGTCAAGATACTAAATGGTGGTATAAACACAGCACACTGCCCAGAGGAAAAAACAGCTTAGACAGGGTAATCTCCAGAAGAAACCTGCTGATTCTCTTATACAAGGAATAGCCATGGATAATGATAATCCTCTCCCAGAGATTGAATAAGGTAATTGATATGTGTTAATTATTATGGATTACTTCACAATGTGGGCCAAGGATTATCCATTACGTGTTGTTTCAACACAGTCCATCACTGATGTGTTGGCAGAACACTGGATAGCCTGAATCAGCACCTGAAAAAAATCATGCACAGAGATCATCATAGAGCTAATCTGAATACACAGTTATTTTCTGAATTGTGTAAATTTTTGGGTGTGGTGAAAATATGCACTTCACCTTAATACCTCTAGCCTGAGGGTTTAGCAAAAAGGTAATAACCAAACCAACTGGGATTAACATTTTGCGTACATCATGATGGCATACTGTGCAATATAACATTGATAAGCTGGTTGTCTGACAAACATACTTTTCTTTGATTATGAAATACTGCTCTCTGTACACGTGATGTGGTGCTCATGGTAAATAAAATTAAGTCACTGGGTGAGATGTTTGCACATATATATATACTAACGCTGAGTAATCTGTCGTTACACTCGTTACTTCTACCAGGGATACGCTTTATTTATTGGATGAATGTGCGGTACTTTTTGCACAGCAATGAAGCTGAGTAAAAATAAAATTAGTACTGTATATTTTTCTATCGGTATCTATAGAATTGTTTGTAAGTAAGCTTGAATGTTTATAACGAACGAGGGAAAGCGAAATATTTACTGGAAAATGAGAAAAAAATCTACGTTTGTACATTCGTGGATGTGGCCTGAAAAGGTCCACTCGCGTGTGCGATAACTTACGAACAGTGGCTGCATGATGTTAAAACGGATTTTCCTAACTACCGGACCGAACAACATCGGAGAACTAATGCGGGATTTATCTATTGCTTTCAGGAATCAAAACAGACAAGTAAGGAGGTAGAGATCCAGGGTTTACCTGATCCTCCCGGGTCACATGACAAAGAATGATCTGAGAATCCATGAGCAATAAGTAACTCCACACACTCCTTACGACTAGTTCTCGACAAGGAGGTGGAGTTATTGGAACATTGACGTCATCAGCATGTGTTTAAAATATCTTAACACAATACAGAATATTTTTCTTAAACATTTTTCTTCCTTTGTCTGTAGTAGCATTGATCGCATAAAAATTATTCTAGTCAGGTACAAAACAAGGGTTACCCTTGGAAATAAACGCTAGACCAACTGTTACCTCATTATTTTGCTCATTAGTGATAGACTAGTGGAAAAGTAGCTAGTAAACATCATCCACCGCCAACAAATAGAGAAATTGACAGAACATTATGACGCCCCCACGGTTGAAAGAGCAAGCATGTCAGGCAACGGGTTTCAATCCCACGACCCACAGATTTCGAGTCGAGCACACTAACCATCACTACTGGACAAGAACACCCAGAATGTGTTCTGGATATACAAATCGAATATATCACTAGTCTACAACTAAGCTAAGTACAATTTGTACAACTTACAAGACTATGTTCTAATTCTACTTCAAATCGTTTTTAAAACGTACAAAATTTTGTAAATAGTTAATAATACTAAACCTAATTCTTACCAGCAAATGCTGTGAGGTTACCAAGCACAAATATTATTGTTGCGTTATGAAACATGCGTGCATAATTATTTATCATTTTGTCTACTTTTGAATGTGCCATGCCACTACTATTACAACTCCCCATTATATAATGACTTCAGCTTTTGTAATACCCTAGGCATTAACTTGGCTGTTACGAAACGCTGTAATGGTTTTACTGCAGTTGACTCAAAGCCCTCTATGATAGGCAAACTATCTAAACTTCGAAAAAAAAAATATAGTCTTGTCGTTGTAACTCATTTTATTTGTAGTGGTGTGAAACAGTAACGTCAGCTTGAGGCTTGCATAAAGGAAATGTAAGGTTGATATCTAAAAGTATAAACGTCTACACATTTTATTATAGATAAATATTAATTATGGATGAAGTGACTTAAACAGCATTCACATACTTTTCTGGTTCCACAGGGTTGAACCAGAAATATTTCGTACGCAAGTGAGTACTCTTCCAAAATGAGCTAAAGGGCGAACCAGTTAGTAAAATAATAGTTCAAATTACCACATTCTTTCACTCTCACAAATAAAGCTTATCTCGGCGAAATTGTTTGAAAGTGACAAGACTCAGTGTTAAAGTTAAATACTGTTACGTCTCCGTTCGTTCGTTAATTAATTTTCCGTAAATTCGCTCCGACGAACGAACGGAGACGTAACAAATTGGTGTCAGAGAGT